GGCTGGCCGGGACTCCCTGCACACCCCCTCCCCCCCCACCTGATTCCCCTCTCCTGCCTTCCCCTTCTCCAGAGCCAGGCATCTCTTCCCCGCCCTCCTCCCCACCAAACCTTATGCCCAGAGCCAGAGCCGCCACCGTTGCTGCCTGTACTCAGCGGGCAGTTGCTAGCACATGCAGGCTGGGATGCTGAGTGCGACCTGGCCTGCAAGTGCAGGATATGACACAGTGCGCTGGGGGCCATGAGCTGAACGGCGTGGGCCATGAGCATGTATGTGGCTCAGAGCGGCCCAGCCGTGAGACCGGCTGACCTGAGCGGTTCGGGGTTGGCTCATGAGCTGCGGGATGGCCACTGTTGGTCTATCCAAATGGATGCAGTTGCAGGAACAGGGCTGGAGATAGTGCAGCTTACCTGCCAAAATCTTGGAAGGTGATGTGTGTTTGTATGGAATGTGAGGGCAAAGTGCAGGGGTACGTGGATAGTGCCCCAACTTGAAATCTGTTCATACCTTCTTGTTAGCTGTTTCTCTTGGTCCTGTTTTTCCTTACTTCTGAGTTTGGCACAAAGAAGGGGAGGATATAAGCAATAACGTTCCCGCTAATCTTTTCCATCCATTAGTGGATTTTTTCCATCCGTGTGTGGAATAAATATTTTTATGTGCACCAAGTCACCAGTAGGAACAAAAAACCTAGCTGTGGGTGCTCTGCTAATCAGGTGGGCAGCATTTGAATCGCTTCTGAGTGGCTACACAAGCCCCGAGCTTACAGGAATCAGTGGTGAGCAGTAAGGAGTGTCAAGGAATAAAGCAAAAAGAGAGAAAACACATTATCTGCACACCATTTGTCAGTTTTTAACCAAAACCAGATAAAATGTTAGTGACTTTTCACTAGTATAAAAAAATGAAACTGAATACATAAACACAATAGCTGTGATGATGTGGAGTCATTGGGATCTTTAAGATAAATTGGTAAATGAAAAAACATATTTTTTTATTGTAATAGTTATGCTCTGCAAATCACACATTACTTCGTTGTGCGCAAAATGGCCAAAAACTGCAGTAAAAGGCACCATGATATCCGATGGCTCTTATAATTTTGTCTGTTCGGTTAATTTTTTCACTTCCTTATGAAGATGTTTTTTACACAGCAGCTTCACTATAAGTGGTGGATTCTCAGAGCTGGAGTTGCAGTTTGGATACCTTGTGAATTGAAACAAGCTGTAACTTAATACCATATCACTACCAAAGATCAAACTAAAAGCAGGTTACACTTTTTTGTGTGTGTGTGTCTGCTTACTTCCTTGCTTATTAATGCTTAGCTGTGTCTTGCAGATCAACAATGCAGGTTGCATGGTAAATGAAAGAGAACTAACAGAGGATGGACTTGAAAAGAACTTTGCAACAAATACGTTAGGTGAGTACAGCAATCTTTAAATAAGAGTCTAAGGTATTCCTGTGTATCTGTTTTGTTTGTAGAAAGGTAAAGTCTCATGTAGCTGTGCAGGATGATTTATTCTTGCATTGAGAGAGAGAGTAGGAGGATTAGATTGTCATATTACAAAAATGTATAACTTGTACAGAAGGTAGCTGTTTGTTTTCAGGTTTCTCCCATATGCAAGATAGTTTCACATTGACTCCATTGTTTGTTCATAGCTCTGGCTGCTGAGAATAGCACATAGCAATTGACACTAGTTAAATCATTTTAAAATTTCAGCGGACAATTTTTCAGTCAGCTCTGCTAATGATACTGCGTGGCGCCTTTCTTCACAAGATCTGCAAGATATTCCAGCAGGGTTCTTGCAACATTCAAGTGCGTGATTTAAAAAAAAAATAGTACGCTGATATTGTGATAGGTCCAAAATACACCAGTTGATATCAGGATCTCAGTGATACAGAGCTGTATGAAATAGCCAGCCACACACACACACACACAGCCATAGTTAAAGACAGGAGAGATGGGATGCATGCAACACACCACAGTCAGAGTGACTGGGTAATTCTTGGCAAAGGTCACAGAAGAGTTCCATGTGGTATCCAATACATTCTGGAAATTGGAATCCATGCATTCATTCCTTTAGGAATTAATAGTGTTTAAAATCTTTCCTTACTTTCAAAGCATCTCATTTGTCTTCCTTTGGTGACCCACATCTGCCTTATCTCCTCTCTCCCTCTTAGGTCAGGTCTAATGAAGCGGTCTACTGATAATACCTGTATAATTGTGCAAGACTTAGGGACATGACAGGATTTAAAAACTTCATAGCATTTTCAAGCCGAGTCAGTGTGCCAGATCTGGTAACTAGATACATCAGTTCTGGCATTGTCTGCCTTGGGGGTGTAAAATGTTACGATGTCTTTAAATCCAGGGTAGAGACATTTCCCCTTGACTTTTTTTTTTAAGTGTCCTGGGATATATTGCATAAAGGATACTATTTTTTTTTAATCTCATTGAAATCAGGGTCTCTAAGGGGTTTGCATAAATATATTGTCTACTGTAGAAAGAAAATTCTGCACTACATTCCTTTTCTCTATCCATTCCTCACCAGAAGATATTTTTTCTTCTCACCAAGTTGTTTTCAAGAATTAAGACTTTAATTCTAGGTCACTTCATTTTTCTTACTAAGTACAGCACATGTTAAGGCACAAGAGGTTTGTGAAGTAAAAGAATGACTGTTCCTTACTAAAAAGCTCTAAGTCACTGAAAGTGATCCTTAAAGGTACGACTACATAGCAGCATTTTGAAATAACTAGCTAGCGTTATTTTGAAATAACTTAGTCCATTTCTGTCAAAATACTGTCAAGCTGGAGGACTTTTTACTCCAACTCCTGTAACCCTCATTGTACGAGGAGTAAAGGAAGTCAGAGGAAGAGTGCTCTATTTTGAAATAAGTGCTGGGTAGACACTCCCAGTTTCGAAATAAGCTACACAATTGACCTAGTTCAATTTATGTAGCTTATTTTGAGTTAAGCCCTGCTTTGTGGACGTACCCGAAGATAATAGAGAAGTCTGCACATTGTATTTATCTGAAATTTCTGTGTAATGATAGTCCAAGAAAGAATTTTCTAGTGTCTATGAAAAAAAGATAAGCAAACTATCTTTTGCTGTATCCTGGGGTATTTGAAGTCTAGTTTTGCAGTCTAGTTTCATGCCTGTGTATTATATAAGCCACCTTGTGACGGTTTGGTTTGCCAGACCTTTTTTCCAGATGTATTTTGTTAATGTTAAAACGTTCTTGTTGAATAGGGTAGTCCTGCTGTGTGTCTTTTTTTTCTATAATGTTCATGGCAGTTCATAGAACAAACCCTGAAATTATCCTTGCTGCAAACGACCTTATCACTTAGAGATCTGAAGTCACATTTCAGTTGATACTGTTGCAAAGGAAGGGCTGCTTTTGTGAATAAAGCTTTGTCTACACTGCAGGGTTTTTCCGCAAAAAGCTTCTTGTGGAAGAGATCTTCTGCAAAAATTTCTTGCGCAAGATCTCTTCCGCAAGAAGCTTTTTGCGGAAGAGATCTTGCGCAAGAAATTTTTGCGGAAAAGTGCGTCCACACCTCGCTGCACAGGTTCTTGCGCAAAAGTGCGCCCACACCTCACTGCACATTGCATGGACACTCTTGTGTCTTCTGTGAATGGCCATCAGAGCACCTGTGCTTTTTCAGGCAGGCTCTTTTTGCACAAGAAACCCCTGTGGAGCATCCACACATTTTTTTTTGTACTAGAACTATGGCACAAAAAGGAGTTGTGTCGTAGAAGGAGGTATGCCTACACCGCAAAAAGCCCTCTGTTCTGCCATTTTACTGTCGATTTGCTTGCACAAAAGGGTGCTTGAGGTGTGAACGCTCCACGGGTTTTTGCGCAAAAATGGCCATTTTTGCACAAAAACCTTGTAGTTTAGACATAGCCTAAGAATTTCTAGAATTGATCCTACTTTTCTACATGAGTGAAAGCTGGCAGGGGGAAGAAGTAGGGTGTGTGGGAGGACAGAGTGTACTGCACGCATGCTCACAGTTGGGTTTTGTGTCTTGATGGGTTGTTTTTAAGTTTCTACGCTAAAATTGTTGATTGTCAGCTTGTGAGCAGGGCTCATCTCTTCCTGTATGTTCATCTAGTAGAGCAGAACTCTGGGCACTACCACAGTGTTAAACTTAATGCAGCACATAAATAGGGTTGCCAGGTGTCCGGTATTGACCTGGACAGTCCGGTATTTTCGCCTCCTGTCCGGTAAAAAAAATTCAGAAAATACTGGACACCTAAAATGTCTGGTATTTTCTGATTTTTTTTTTCTTTCCCTGCCAGGAGGCGAAAATACCGGACACCTGGCAATCCTATGACACACTTGGCAACTGGGTCCAGCCCCCGGCCTCCTGCCCCTCCCCCTCTCCCTCCCCCCAAACCTCCTCCTTACCTGGTTCTGCAGGGAAGCTGCATTCTGGCTTGATCAAGAAAACAAAATGGCGACGGCAAAAAGCCTAAAGACCAAGGGGAAGCAACGCCTTCACTGGGTCTTAGTGTTCAACTGCTCCCCTGTTCCTATCCCTATTCTGACTCTGCACGCCCTGAAAGGGCCATGCTGTTTTGTTTAATTTTTTTTTCTTTTTGCTCAACAACTTTGATCCCCCCCCCCTTTTTTTTCCTTAACAGAATTCCCCCCCCCCTGTGGGGTTTTTTTGGTGTTTGGTGTCTTTGGTTAAACCATCTGGCAACCCTACACGTAAGAAGTCATGCTCATAGGGTGAGATTATGTAGCAGGTTGGGGGCAGTTCAAAATGATTTTTTGTGTAGCAGCATTAGGGATGTTAGCATCTAGCCAGCAAACTGTTTAACCAATAATGAATTGCTTATTAGTTAATAGTCCTAGTTAACCGCAACAATCCCATCTCCCAGGCGTGCTCTGCATTTAAAACTCAGACTGGCAGGCTGGCTCAGTCCAAGCCCACCAGTCTGAGTTTTAAACGAAGAGCATGCAGAAGAGCCACCTGCCATCCAGACCTGTTGCCTCTGCTACAGAGGCAGTCGTGTGGAATGGCAGGGGACTACCCAGAAGTGGGCCCAGGAGATGAGAGCGCACTGGCTGCCACCCCCGCCCCCAGGGCGGAGCATTTTGGTAACTGTAACCACTATGAATTGTTGCAGTTACATGATTATTAAAATAAACTATTTCTAGCATCCCTAAGCAATATGGGTACGTGGAGAACTCTTGTTGCATCAGATGTGGCTGAGCTTAAATCTCATCCTAGAGGTTGGACTCGTCTTTGGTGTGGCTGTTTTGTCAAGGAGGTGCTGCACTGATAAGCAGTGATTTCTTGTGACATACAGGCTTCCTAGTCAGCATTTGCCTTTTTGAAGCCTCTGCAAGATGATTATCCCAACTGACAGTATTCAATCAGCGTGTGGAAAAGCTGCCAGTGGAGGTGGATGGATGGAGCACTCATCACTGTTTGCTTGTTGGTGCATTAAAGATAATCTTCCACAGTTGTAATAAGGCCTGTAAAGTACTGGAACAAGGGAAGTCTGACTTCATTTTTACATGTCACATCTCCTCACTCCAATATGAGAAAACAGTACATCTAGAGTTTATATTGGCAATGACTGGCAGTGGGAACGCTAAAGCACTCTGGAGGATGATCATAGACTAGAGTGTGTCTTTGTTCCTCACTCTAAGTGAACCGAATTCCCCTTGCTTCACTATCTTTTTCTGTTTTAATTTAATAGTTCAAGCCACATCCTCTTCCCAATATTCAGTCAAAATAGTGGATAGGACATGGGGAAGGATCCTCCTTTTTGTGCCCTAGAATGCAGCACAGCTCCCGAATGGTAACTACTCAAGCCTCCATCGCTGTTTGCAAACCCCTTTCTCCCTAAAAGGGGTCTGGATTACTGAATCACAGGAGGCAGCCCCACTTAGACCAGTGATGTTTAAACTGTGGGTTGAGATCCCATGTTCCTGGGGTCACTAGTGCTGACTTTTCCCCTGGGCCCCACCAAGTTGAAGTCAGAGCCCCACCACCTTGAGCTGAAGCAGAAGCTCCAGGGCTTCAGCTGAGTGGTGGGGCTCAGGTTACAGGCTGCGGTTGGGGAAGGAGGGTTGGACAGGCTCATGCTTCAGTTCCCCGTCCTGAGTTTGTGGAAACTTTTGCTGTCAAAGGGCATTGCAGCGCAATGAAGCTTGAGAACCTCTGTACTAAACTCTCCCAGATCTGTCATTTGGTTTGCTGGTGACTTGGGCACGTCACTTCCTCCCTTTGTGCCTCCATTTCCACAGCTGTAAAATGGAAATACTTGCCTGCTTTGGTAACGTGCTTTGAGACCTACAGATGAAGTTTTATGTTAGTGTTGTTAATAATTCATCCACTGGCTGCATCACCTTTCGACATAGCAGGGCAGAGGAAGCCAGTACTGAGCACAGCTTTGTGGTA